TAACTGTGGATTTAGTTCACCAGCACTCATGTCTTTCTCTGTCAGGGGCGGAATCTGGGAGGGTGGGTGGGTACCATTGACTATTACATTCTCAGACACTGGTAGAGAGAATAAAAATAATGTGTAAACAGATGTAACCCAGTCTAAGGACATACAACACTGAATGACCCTCATCTTGCCTAATCTTAAAAGCTAAGCAAGGTCTGACCTGCTTAATAATCAGATGGGAAACTGCCTAGGAAGCCTAGGTGCTGCAAATTTGCTTGACATGGTGGCATGTACCATTAATCTTAGAACTCTGGAGGCAGAGGCACGCAGGTTTCTGTGAGTTCAAGGCCAGCCTGGTCTACACAGCTATAAGGCCATGAAAAATTGGAGGAAATTGTAAATGGTTGTTGTAAGGGAAGGAAGCCAGTGTGAAGAGGCTACACACTGTATGATTTCAGCTTTTTGACACTAGAAAACACCAAGTGTAGAGACAGTAATATCAGCTGTTGCTAGATACTCAGGGGCAGCAAATGAGAAATAAATAGACTGAGCATAGAGAATTTTATGTCAGTGAAATTTTCTTATAAAATATTAGCATAGTATAGCATAAATCTTCATGTATGTGTCAAATCCATAGAATGTATAACAGAAAGAGTGATCATTAATGGAAACCACGGACATTAGTTAAGAATAATGAGTCAGTAATAGATTGTAACAAATATATAATATTGGCACAAGTTTAAATAATATGGGAAAATAGGGAGAGATGGTGAGTTAACTGAAAGGGAAAATTCTACTTAATTTCCCATGTACCTTGAAGAAAGAAAGAAGGGCATGGTACAGTATAAACTTCCAGGACTTGAAATGTTTATTTAAGTGATTAACTACAAAGTAAAGCAAACCAATACATAAAGCTGGATTGAGGAACTATGGGCATTGATGACTGCTGGAAGAGGGACAGTTCTTCTCTCAGAAGGTGGCCACTGGTAGGTTGCCCATGCTCCACCACATGATCTCATACTATGGGTAGCACTAAGTGAACTCACTGGATAGTAATAAGTAAAGAAAAAGAATAAAAATGGGAATGGGAAGCAGAGGTGGTGCACACCTTTAATTCTACCTTTAATTCTAGCACTCGGGAAGCAGAGGCAGGCAGATCTCTAAGTTGAAGTTCAGCTTGATTTACTGAGCTAGTTCCAGGACAACCAGGATACCAGAACTACACAGAAAGACCCTGCCAAAAGAAGGAGGAGGAGGAGGAGGAGAAGGAGGAGGAGGAGGAGGAGGAGGAGGAGTAATACAATCAATGGTCCATGTTTTCTATTGTCTTGTTTATTAATTTAAAAAGATTATATATCTAACATTCTAGCTATTATGTCCATTTCAAAACAAGTTTCCTTACCAGTTTTTCATCTTGCATGTTATTACCTCTAAACCCAAGAATTTCTGAAATTACTTATGTTTTGCACTATGATTTACTAATACACATCTACCAATGAGTACATGTTGCTATTTTCCTTATAACTTTTCTGATAATGCTTTCTCAACTTTTTTCACTAGATTCTGATATGCTCCTTAAAAACTTAATAATCTTTGTGAACTATCCTTATTTTACTTTTCAGTATATGCTTTCATTTGCAAACTACTCATAACTTGAAAACTCAGAATTGACTTTCAAGTTTCCAAATTCAGCATAGCTCTATCTGCTAATCATCCATTAGATTATTAGATCGTTTTTTGAATTACCTCAATGTACCTCAAGTTTAATGTATCTGAATTAAACTGATATCCTTCCCAACCCTAAGAAATCTGATATTTCTTCCTTGTCACTTTCTGTCTCACTTCTCGGGTGCTGAAATGATGGGTTCCTTGATGACTTCTTTAAGAATGATGTTAAACCTGAGATAACACTTCTGCAATGCAAAGCAGAGTTGTTCTCCACGCTTTTACTATAAGTTCTATGACCCTGATTCTGTTTTCCTTTTCTTATTGGCCCTTCAAAAATTATATATACAAATATATATAGATAGATAGATATAGATATGTGTGTGTTTATGTATGCATGTATGTATATATGCATGTATGTATGTATGTATTCTCTTCCTTCTCTGCTTTACTTCCTCCTTGGCAAAAAAAAAATAAGCCAAGATCAGAAGCTAATGGCAATTCCTCATTGATCCATAACCTCAAGATTTTTTAATTTTAATTAGAATCAAGCTTGTTTTACACGTCAATTTCAGCTCCCTTTCCCTCCTCTCATCCCCTGTCCCCCACCAGACACCCTATCTCATCCCCTTTCTGCTGCCCAGGGAGGGTTAGAAGCTCTGCTCTCATTGAATAATGTTCATGAGTATGGTATGCTATACATTAATTATTGTATATTTATTGTATTGTTTAGTTTTTAGGTGGTGAAAAGCAAAGATGGCAATATCACATTCTTCCTCTATAAAGTGATAGCTAACTGCCAATCCTTAAAAATTCTGTTGCGAGTTGACCTAAAACTGTTGTATGACACATATAATATATTGTAAATCATATGTCATAAATCTGACACATTCTGCATAAATCACAAGTATTTTCCTACACGAACATACTGTATTTAATGATGTGTGCATTTACATATATTTATGTAAATAAAATGCTTAATGGCTGAGGAGATAGTTAGGTATTATCTTTTCTAATAATTGTACCAGGCACTGACTTCACCACAATGGACAGCATGCTATGAACAGTTAAAGATCCTTTCCCAGACCTTTGTCTGTGAAAATTCCACTTTAATGAAGTCATCTTTCATGTCATTTCCTGTAAAGAGTAGAAAGAGCAAGTCCCCTTAACTTCTCTATCCTCCTTTCCCATTTCCTTTCCTGTCCTTCTCTCTCTCTCTCTCTCTCTCTCTCTCTCTCTCTCTCTCTCTCTCTCTCTCTCTCTCTCTCTCTCTCTCTCTCTCTCTCTCTCTCTCTCTCTCTCTCTCCCTCTTTTGTTTCTCATTTAAATCAAATTTACTTGCTTGCTTTTTATCAAACGGTAGACACATGATTCTATCACCTCTGCACTTTCAGTCACAATGTATTCTGTCTCTTTGCATATGTACTACTTCCTCTGAGAACTATTCTCAACTATTCTCAACTCATTTCGGACCTAGTAACATTTCCCTTTCTCTGAATGGGTTAAAAAAATGAAGAAATTGTTATTTTGCTCAGCAGGTTAAATTTTCCATCCAAGAGGGGATCACTGTGAGAAACATCACACCACCTTCTGTTTGCACAGTGCACGAGTTAGTTCCTGATAATCCACTTGATTTCACCATAGCATGTACAGACAAACAGCCAAAAGCAAGTGTTATCAAAATGAAGGCAGCTGGGGAAGCAGTAGTCCAAAGTCAAGTGAACTGTTCTTAGGGCAGCCTAGAGCTGAACCTGGCACTGGAATCAAGGTCTCCATCCTCTTGACGCTTCCTTCTATTTTAAACTGTTAATTGGCTTGTGTTCCTGCATTGACACTAATGTTTACATATATTGGTACCCAAGAGGCAGCTCAGTGAATACTGAATACATCCTTTTTCATCTAAGTTACTACTTGGCTCATGTTCCTATGATAGTACAAATTTCAACTAGCCCAGCACTGTTTGCCCAATACTTATTTATCTGAGAAGCTCTTTCTAAACTCCCAAGTGCTACCAGTTACTACCAGTTTAGAAAAACAAAACAAACGAACAACAGCAACACCAATAACAATCCCTTTCAATTCTTTGTTTAAAATCAAAGGAATTTATTTAATTTTAGCAGCATTCACCAATCAGTTGGTCTTCAGAGTGTTAGCAAGAATGATTTTGCTTTGCCTAATCTGTGTCTATATTTGTGCATGTACAAGCAGGCATGTGCATTTCATGCACTGTTCCAAGACAAACTGTGTTTTGTCTTTAAGTGAATTTCTGTTTATTTCCCTCACTAAGTTGCTTGGATGCATGGACCCTCTTTAAACCATCAGTTATCAGTGTGTTTGGTGTAAATGGTTCTGCCACTCCAAATGGGGATAGGAGGGCTGAAGCCAGAAAGGAGACCTGATCTCTATTTTGTGATTGAGACACTTTTGCTTTTATCTCGTCCCTCTCAATATTTAGGTATCACCCAGGAACTCTCAAGTCATCCTCAGCTCACTGCAAGGAGAATACCTCCTCCACTCTTTTTCCTAAGAGCTTATGAAGTCTCAGGCTGGCTCAGGAATTCCATCTCCCATCATGGACAGAGTATCCACCCACCAGATAGGGAGGGGAGCCTTGGGGCAGTGGGTTTTGTTGTTTCCCTGTGGGTTCTTGCCTGTACAGTGCTTTGCAGGGAATCTTAGGAGCAGTGAGTTGCTGCCTTTCTGGCTTGATCGAAAAAACAAAGAGAAAAGACTTCTTTCCCTGAAGGAAAAGTTTCAAAACGCACACGCTAAGCTAATCACCCCACACTATAAAAATCACTCTAACTCACTCATTACAAATTGCACTGTCCAGCCTTCCCTAAGGGTATCTAGGAACCTCTTTTGCCTCTTACTGTTCGATCTGTCCTCAGAGAGCTTGACTATCCCACACACCACAAATCTACACTTAAATTTAACTCTGCCCCCTTATATATAACAACAATAATACTGTTTACCAAAACACGGCATAAACATAGGTGAAACTGTTAACTTGTTTTCTGCTAGACTGTCATTTTAGAACGTCTTCGACTGCAAACCCAGAGAAGAAAAACACTTCACTTTGTAATGAAAGTATAGCGCTGCCCTCATTCACTGTCGAACTGCCAGCTGCAAGAGAAACAATCACCCCAGTGACTCACAGTTGCCTCTTAGTTATGTTGTTCTTTCCTGATGACTTAGGGCATGACCTAATTCGCTTGCAGGAATCATACTTTTGACCTGAGGATCCCGGCATAATCAGGACGAGCTGGAAGCACAGGGGTCCCCTCAACTCCCAATCATGGCCCCAGATATGCAGATGGAGGAAAAGGTAACTCTGTCCCACTTACCGGTCTTCCACAGATAGAGGGTGGGCACCTCGGCGTCTCCCTGCGCAGCAGCCCCGTGGGCACAGGAGCTCAGCAGGAGCAGCCAGAGCAGTGGCAGCCTCAACAGCTGCAGGACGCCCCGGCTACGGGACTCCAGGAGCCCTTCTCGCAGTCCCATGCTGTCCGCAGCCGCTCCAGCCTCCGGAGCCGCAGTACTCTCGCGGGGGACGGTCCTTCTTCTCTTACCAGCAGAGAACGCAAGCAAAGCTCTCTCAGCTGCTATTGTTCGCTCCAGATGAAAAGCAGCCAAAGAGCAACTAACACTAGGGAACAATAGCATCCGCGGCGGCCGTGGACGCCACTGCCGCCGCCGCTGGCGGGGATGCTGGCGGGGATGCTGCCTCCTCTGCCATGGCGTGCAGACTGGCAGGTCCTAGCGGCTAGGGACACAGCCAGCCACAGGGGGCCCCAGCTGACAGAGCCAGCCCAGACCTCTGCAAGGAGCAGCCCCCGCCGCCAGCTGTAGGGAAGGGAGGGGGGCGAGAGAAGAGAAGACCCGAGGGGACCCGAGGGGACCAAGGGCAGGGGACAGCAAAGGCACAGTGCCAGCACCCAGACCCCACGCGTCCGCCCCAAGAACTCCCTGGCACATGGTGCGGTGAAATATATTTGCGAGGATACACCAATAAAAGGAATCATCTCGGGACAGGCTTCTGGATGACGAATAACTGACATTGAAATTCATCATCACCCAAGGAGTCAAACGCTGTTCTAGTGGCGTGCTATTATCCCTGCATATTTATACAAAGCATCAGTGTTGGTCATTTATTCTGAAGCCGTGCCTTCTGAATTACTTCATGTGAGGAGCGGTATTTATGAATCTATAAGGGAACAGAACAGAACTCACTGTCAGAAAGCAGTTGAGCACTTTCTTAAGCGTTCTTTTTTTTCAACTTCAGTCCATTCTCAGTAACAATGTGACCGCGGTTAGTCTGTGTCAAATTCAACACATTGTCCTGTAATCACCTTTGAAAGTAAACTCGTACATAAGTGTGCGCGATGCTGTCCAGTTGTGTAAATAAGAATGTGCAAACACTGCTAGCCGGATTCTGTTTCAATGGTGAACAAAAGTTCCACCCCTTTCTCTCCTCTCTCTGTTGATAGCAACCTAGTAAGTATCAGGGGTGGGGAGAAAAGTTAAATGTGTCAGTAACGGTGTTTCCCAGTTAAAAAATATTTTTACTTAAAATTTAACCCTGAGACCAGTATTTCCTGATACTTTTTTAATGCTTTTTCACAACCAAAATAAGGAACCTCATGGCTTGTACCTTTTGTTCTCTGTTTTCATTTTCTTGGATCAGTCCTAACAGAAGAATGTGTCCAGTCAGATAAAGCTTTGTCCTCCCCCACACAAACTCACAATAACAGTCTTTTATTATTAATTCATTTCCTTGGAAAGCTTAAATAGTATCAAGGCAGTTAGCCATTTACAACAAAGCAAAACAACAAGAGTGCTCCAGCAACTGCTGAGGATAACTGTGTCATTTTCTTCCCAATCTTGCACCAAATCCAGTAACATTTGAGAAGAGGAAAACTTCTGGTGACTACCCCACAAGGATCAGCCATCCAGGAGCCTGAAAGGAGAAAGCTACTGTTTCTCAGGGAGGAAACCTTCCTAGGACTCCCTGGGGATGCTTGTCATTTCACTGAGCTTTCCAGACACAACCCTTCTGCATGCATTAGATTAAAAGCAGGTTTGATCAAATAATTCCCAGGTCTTGCCTGCTTAAGTATTCTGACATCAGAGGAAATTAGCTGCATTCAGGGTTGCAAATTTGGTCTTTGTTTACTTTTCACTCTGTTAGGCCTGTAAGAGGGAATTAAAAGCTCAGAGAGACCTGGCCTGTGTCTGTGATTAGAGGCAATAAGCCACTGTGGCTTACTATTTCTACACTAGTGAAAAATAGGCAATGATCAAAAGATTATAGGTTGATAGGGGTACAAAGGAAGCCTGATCCTAACTAATGTATGCTTCCCTGAAGGAGCAAGTCCTTCAATGTTGGCACTGTCAAAGAAGAAAAAGACCTGCCCGGGCCTCCTGGGTTGTGTCCTCTCAGAAATTGCTCCTCCCTGCAATGCCACTCTTCAAGGAATCTTCTGCCTACCCCTTCTGGTTGTATGGCTCAGTTGTTGTCAGTGCCCAGCCCTGAAGTTCTGTAACTGCACACTGCAGATGCTGTGTTATTAGTGCCCATTCAAAGCATTTTTCATCAGCCCCAAGTCAGGTCACCAGGTGGAGGTTCATTATACAACAGAAAACAGGATGGAAGGAGACAAATCAGAGTAGTTAATGGGCAAGCTGACCACCTAGACCTCCCAAAGCTGTCAGATGTCACACTCCATAGCTTAATGTCAAACAAAAATTTAAGATGGGATTTTCTTATCCAGGATTGTAGAATAATTACTAATCCACTCAAGACATTAAATATGCTAGCAATAATGTCAAGGCTAATTTCTAAATCAGAGTCTGTTATCATTTAAAATACACAACCAAGGCAACATGCTTTGGCAAAGTGCCTGAAATTTGCCATCAGTAGTTTTCCCCTCTTTTAACTGAAACATAAACCATGCTTAGTGAATCCCACCACACACACACACACACACACACACATACACACACACACACACACACACACACACACACACACACACACATTGCAAATGTTCCCTAGTAGTGGAAACATATCTAAACAGTGTTATAGAAGCTGAGTCATAAACATATGTCTCCACCAATGCCACATTTCTGTTCATAAAATGTCATTACTGCACTTGAGAACAAGAAATATTTGGGTCGCTGAAGAGACAAGGTGATATATATATATATATATATATATATATATATATATATTCAGATACACAATACTTTGTGAAAAAAATACTGCTCACATGGATGGATATACTGTATCAATAAACCTGATAGATGGCAAAGGATAGCAAGAAATACCTATCTTTGTTTTCTAGAATGATATAAATAATACACAAATGTTTAATGACACTATGTCAAAATACAGTTTAGAGATGTCTCAAGGATGCAGAATAAATTGGCCATCTGTACAGCCTGCCATGAAGTAAACCAGCCATCATTTTTCATGAACTGTTCAAGTATTAATGAGCCAGGACTAAAAAAGTTTTCCAAACCAACATTTTTAATAATTAGAAATAGCACAATTCTGACCCTATTCATTATATGTATGGTATCCTTTAATTGCCCTTTGTTATCTTCGCTCTCATTTAGTAACTTCACTGTTTAAAGTTATGTACATTCATACACACACACACACACACACATACTCATTTGAGTGTGTGTAAAGGCAATACAATTGTTTATTTTATGGAAAGCGAAGATATCTTAATATAACTTTATCAATTTAATTAAATGACGAAATACAGACAAAATTATTTATTGATAGAAGAGTTTTATAGAGAGAAGTGTATAAAATGCTTACTTTTAAATGAAAATCTCCACATAGTAGCTGCTTAATTCCAACAACAACCAAAACTCAAAGGAATTCTATTTATGCATCCTCTAGGTGTCATACTTAACCAAGATTTGTATTCAACAAAATTTATTTTATACTATTTCCCATCAATCCTCTACTATACCCATCAAATTGCAAAGTAAAAAAATTCACATTTGATATCTGTGGTAAATAGCCGTGTATCTTACCTTCTAAATTTTGACTCGCATTCATCTTCGATTTTACTTCCAGTCCATTTTTAGTCAGCAACAGCATACTATGTTGGTTGTTTGATTGGTTGGTTGATTAACTGGTTTTCTGATTAGGAGTTTTAGGTCCTGATATGAGGTAAGATTCTAAATTTAAGCGTTTTACAGAATAATATTATCAAATATTCCCCATGTTATTTATAACTGAAGTCTTTTGGAAACAAAGGAGACCTTATTTTCTGCACCAGGTGAAAGTACTATGTTTTATTTCAGATCCTACAAACACTGGGGGTAGATTATTTACAGCTGGTCTTAGACTCAGGGAGTATCTTATCCCAGGTGATCCATGGGACATCAACAGTACCTGGCAGAAGATAGCAGTCAAGATGTTTCGTAATCAACCAATGGTAACTAGGGAGAATGTTACTAGAGAACTGAGCTCTCCGGCTAAATGCAAGAACTTAGATATTTGAGAAACACAGGAAAACAGCATAGAAAAAGGCAACAACACTGACCAGTTACCAGTAGTATGTTGATGCCATGATGCCCTACAGAAGGGTATTAAAAAAACCTCAGTCTTTAACAAACAAACAAACAGATATGAAGCTTGTAGAACAGAAGTTTTCTTTAGTGGTTGAAATAATAATCTCTGTCTCCTTCGGTGGTAGACTAGAAAAACCTGAAGACCAAATTCAAAATCTTATGAATTGATGATGACTTCAAAGATACTCTGAGTCAAAGCTGTTGTGTTAAGACTTAAGTCCTACTGAGAAAAACCTGGGTTTCTTTCTGTTTTTGTTTTTTCAGAAGCTGAAGTCAGCTGCTTGCTCTGACATGAAGTTGCAACACAGTGTACATCTGTCTCATCACTGGCTCAAAAGCAATGGGAGAAACCTCCAAAACAATGAAGAAAACCAATCCTTTTCCACTTTTAGTAGATGACAATAGGTATGTATTAACAGTAATGGAAAGCTAACATATCCATTTGTCTGAAAATAATTTATAACATTGTTGCTTTTCTCACTGAACTGCCTTAGTTAAATGGCAGCTGACCATAAATGGAATGATTTTTTTTCTGTTCCTTGGTAAAAATGACAAGATTTAGCTTATACCAATTGTCTCTAGAAAACTATGAAATTCATTAAATGCTCTGTTTTTCGTCTTTCCCAAAAGTGGATATTCATAGTCCTCTGTATTGTTAAAAGTGTTTGGGGCAGATTTTTCAACTTCTACAAATTGCTGGCAAAGATTTGATCAGGGACAGTATCAAATTTCAAGATAAATGAGTCTACTGATTCATAAACATGGGGTGTGCCCTCCATTTATTTAGTCTTCCTAAATTGTTTTCACACTGTCTTGGCCTTTTCAGCACAAGAAGATTGCATATACTTTGTAAAAATTTCCCTTAAAGCACTTACTTATTATTTTTTGAAAATATTTTTCTGATTTTGTTTTCAGATATTTTTATTGCTCAATCATAGGAATAAAATTAACTTTTTTTTAGTTTTTAATGGTAAAGACAATTTATTTTGGCTCATAGTTTAAAGGTTATGATTCTCATGGTGAGAAGGCTTGGGGTGGCTGCATGGCAGTGGAACAGGGAGCCACAGAACATTTTTTACAATGGTATTACAGTATTTTATTTTTTAAAAAATTATTTATTTTTTGTTTTATTTAAACTAAAAGAAGTCTTATTTTACATACAATCCCAGTTCCTTCTCCTTCCAGTCCTCCCATGCCTCCCACCAACCCCCCATTCCACTCCCAGATCAACTCCCCAGGGAGGGTGAGGCCTCCCATGAGGGATCATCAAAGTCTGTCACATAACTAGGCCCTGCCCCCATGTATCTAGGCTGAGAGAATAGCCCTCTATGGGAAAT